CCACCTTCGACGTAAGCAAACCAGCCCTTTTGGCACATCGGCTGGGACCGTATGCTGAATGTTGGGGAGGGGATGGTGTCCCCGACGGTGGGGACGGACAACTTCAACGCGGTCCTTAGAACCGCCACAATTTGGCGCTTACCTTAGAACTAAGCCTTAAAGAGAGGGACGGGTCCGTCCCTCCTAGGCTTAGTCCAAGGGTGAGCAGACCGGTCCTTCTGGCGAAGCTACTGGACCAGCTGCACCACTTGCGTCAGTACTCTCCTATCGTACCAACCGAGTTGAAGTAAACCGTCGACCGTTGGGGACCCCATCCCCTCCCCAACATTCAGCATACGGTCCCAGCCGATGTGCCAAAAGGGCTGGTTTGCTTACGTCGAACGGGTCCGGATCATTGGGTGTCCCTCTTATGAGTGGGTTGACAGCAACGGATGGAGGTCTGCTAGTGCCGGGTTTGCTGAACGCAACAGGTGGGGCAGAACGTCTCCACCAAACAGGGCTTGGAGATCTGCTTATATGACCAAAAAAAAAACTATCCTTCGTTGGGAACGGACCTAACATCGCTGAGCGAGCCGTTGGCCCTCGGGGATAAAGCTTAACTCTCGTTCATGTTTACGAAAGCATGGTGGGCGCAGCGACAGTCTGTTTGCCAGAGAGTCATTGAGAATCAGTCTCCAGACGCCGCTAGCAGCGGCAGTTGTGTTCTCTTGCGGCGGGTAGGTGGATGCTTCCAGTGAGAAGGTAATCAAGCGAGTAGCTTCAGAGACCCTTCTGAAGTTACTGCCCAGGGTGTTTGCAAGGGTGCTGCAAGATCGGGGTAGAGCTTGAGAATGGCGCATGAGGGATGTCATACTATGTATTGGCTGGATAGAGGGCCACTCTGACAGGCTTCCGCGGGTCTAGAATTACTTAGGAAAGGCGTCCCACCCGTTTCTACTTACGGACCACCTTTGGGAAAAAGTAGTACCGATCAAAAAAGATACACTGGACATTCTAGAATCACTAAAATAAGTTAATGAGCAAAATTCACTCTTGTCGCTTAGGGCTTCTGAGGGTGTATGTGTTCTACCCGCAGACCACCAATAGCATTTCCTCAAAAGAAGAGAAATTATGGCAAAAAAATTTCGTGATCTGGGTGACAACCGCCCTCAGAAGCCTTCAGATTTTGCATGAACATTTTGATTTACCGTCTGTATCTTGTTTGACCCGACTACTTTGTTGGTGGTAGCAAGGAGTGGGTTCCTCAAGTAAACCACACCCGCGAGCGCCACTGGCTCAGACGCGTAGAACCAGAGATTCCAGCGTCCATTCCAGCACTGCAACCTTGAGAGGTAACTTTCAGAATTGGTGAAGCTCAAGCGATTCGTTCACTGACAGCTCCTACCAAAGAACTGCACTGCTATTGTTGAACCATAATATGGGCAAATGGATGGGTTCGCCGGCACTATGCTTCAAAACATGGAAAAGTTTACTTTATCCAGGCAACGCTCGTCAACGAATTTGGAAGAAGGTTCAGCAAAAGTCTCCAAGCCCGTTATGGGACGTTCTGTCCCACCTGTTGCGTTCAGCAGACCCGGCACTAACAGACCTCCATCCGTTGCTGTCAACCCACTCAAAGAGGGACACCCAATGATCCGGACCCGTTCGAAGAAGACTTCGTTCAAGGTTTCTGCTCCAAAAGCTCAGCATTTCCAGACAAACAGCATCCACGAGTTACCTGCTAAAGGCAATATGTTGACGATTATGGTGGGGCATATATTTGTAAATTGCTCACTGTGCTAAAGAAGAAAAGTGAATTAGAAAAAAAATCGACAAATGGCCAAAGACTTTTCCGACAACCTAATAGATTGAACGGCACTAGTTTTGAGAACCGCAGCCGCTGAGCTAAAAAAAATTGACAACTGACCATGGCAGAACAGGAACGGGTGCCAAGTGCACTTCTTCGTTCAAACACGAATCCAGGA